TAATAATACTGATATCTACTACTTCTTTCTAAAACGTTAATAATAATACTGATATCTACTACTTCTTTCTAAAACGTTTAATGATAATATTGATATTTACTACTCTTTTCTATAAACTTTAATGATAATACCGATATCTACTACTACTTTCTAAAAGATTTTAGAAAAAAAAGTAGTGAATATCAGAATTATAATTAAAGTTTAAAGAAAGGAGTGGATGATATCAGTACTACCAATAAAGTTTTAGAGAGAAGTAGTAGATATTAGTGTTATCATTAAAGTATATAGAAAGGAGTAGAAGATATCTGTATTATATCATTCAAGTTTTTATAAAGGAGTAGAAGACAGATATCAGTATTATCATTCAAGTCTATAGAAAGTAGTAGTAGATATCAGTATTATCATTCAAGCGAACTGGTATAGCAGTAGGTGAATGATGGTGTTTATTTATAGACTAAAGTGAATGTGTTACATTATTTACAGTTTAAATGAACTGGTATAGCAGTAGGTGAATGATGGTGTTTATTTATAGACTAAAGTGAATGTGTTACATTATTTACAGTTTAAATGAACTGGTATAGCAGTAGGTGAATGATGGTGTTTATTTATAGACTAAAGTGAATGTGTTACATTATATACAATATAAATGAACTGGTATAGCAGTAGGTGAATGATGGTGTTTATCTATAGACTAAAGTGAATGTGTTACATTATATACAATATAAATGAACTGGTATAGCAGTAGGTGAATGATGGTGTTTATCTATAGACTAAAGTGAATGTGCTACATTATTTATTTATAGACTAAAGTGGATGTGCTAGATTGTATAAATTAATGATGCACTAAGTCTTCCATTTGCAAAATATGAGAAATCAAGAAAATTTTTCCCTCATCCTCATAGCTAACATTTTAACATTGTTTTCTAAATACATTAAACTAGTGAATATCAAACAGTCATCACAAAGTACAAACTATAATAAAGACCATACATGTATCCCAATAGAATTTCATTTTATAATGGCAACCCTTCCCACACTTTAATGCTATTACAAGAATGTGCAGTTTCACTCAAGAATTTAGATATTCATTAAATTACATTTTTTTTTCACATAATGATTACATATCCTTACATTTGCAAGCAGTTTTAACCCACGAATTAATGTGCATCATTTTAGAAATCATCATCCATAAAGAAAACAAGACTGCAATGATGAGCTGTAATTAAAACACTGTTTAAAATTATGATAAATTAATTTTTGTGAGAAACCAATCAAACACAGTGAGTGTTATGAGAATGCTATATGCAGTCAGAAGATTAAACGTTCTTTGTTCTACTGACACAATGCTTTTGTTAAAAGGCCAATACCTTAATAGAATTACTGTATTGATAAAGCTCACCAGATTTAAACTTAAAATAATTAAATTTTTTTAAACTTAAGGTATGAATTTCATTACAGTATACTTACATAATCTTTACAGAACTCCTTAACTTTACCCTCAGAACAAAGGCGCAGATTTTCATATTTTGTTTCTGTAGGAAACATGAAGTCTGTAAAAGATTAGAAACATGTATGTATGCGAATTAAGTCTAAATTTTTAACAAGAAATATCTCATTCACAAAATTTAGATATGCATGAAAAGTTTCATGAATCTTAGTTTTTTAATACTATTTAATTTAAAATAAAAATAAACCAATGCTGGACTTTGTAGTAGATACCAGTATTATCATTAAATTTTAAAGAAAGGAGTGGTAGATGTCAGTTTTATCATGAAAATTTAAAGATAAGACTGGTAGATATCAATACTATCAATAAGGTTTTAGAAAGAAGTGGTAGATATCAATAGTATCATTAAAGTACATAGAAAGGAGTAGTACATATCAATATTACAATTAAAGTTCAAAAAAGGAGTAGTATTTATTAGTAGTATCATTAAACTTTTTAAAAAGTAGTAGATATCAGTAGTATCATTAAAGTTCATAGAAAGGAGTAGCACTTATCACTATTGAAATTAAAGTTTCTATTAAGTAGTAGTAGTAGATATCAGTATTATCATAAAATATTTTAGAAAGTAGTATTAGATATCAGTATTATAATTAAAGTTTATAGAAATTAGTAGATATCAGTATTATCATTAAAGATTATAAAAAGGAGTAGTATTTATCAGTAGTAACATTAAAGTTCATAGAAATGACTAGCAGACATCTGTATTATCATTAAAGTTTATAAAAAGTAGTAGTGGATATCAGTATTATCATTAAAGTTTTAGAAACTAGTAGTAGATATCAGTATTATGAATTACTTTATATTGTATATAATGTAACACATTCACTTTAGTCTATAAATAAACACCATCATTCACCTACTGCT